TGGGGGTGCGGACACAGGGCCTTCTTCTGGAGCAGCCATGCCCCCGACCAGTCCCAGCCCAGCCCGGCTGCCAGCGCTGGCATTCAGCTAGCCATGTCCTGCAGCAGGGGATGAGCAGCAGGGTTTGCTGTAGGAGCAGCTGGGTACAATTTTGCTTTACATTTGCACTGCAAATAATAGAGAGGGTACAAAGCATTGCTTTCCAATCTGCTTCAACACAAACCACTTTGAGATCCAAAGCAGAATTACTGCTGAAAAATATAGGGCTAGCATGCTAAGGGAGAGCTCTACAGCTGTGATGCTGATTTTATCCTGTTTTCAGGATAAACAGAGCAGGGTAGAAGCTCTTGAAGGCTGTCTTTCCCAAGGACATTGCCAGAGCATTGGCTGAGCTTTCAGACAACCCAGCACCTTTAAGTTTAACAAGCTTTAGAGATTCCCCAAAGCTGCTGCCCCAGACTGCTGCAACCACCACTCTGGCCCTGCTTTGTTGATGCCATCCTGCAGGCTCAGAGCTGCCTCTCTAACTCCAGGCAGATGCCCACAAAGCTCCAAGTACATCTCCCATGAAGAGGATGCCTGGATAAAACAGAGCCCCGTGAGGCACGGTGACAGCAGGGACAGCTGTTTCAGCAGTGACATCCTAGGCGTGGAGGAGCATGAGGTGGTTTCTGGTGTCCCTAAGCTGCTCTCCTCTGCCCACTAGCAGGGGCCAGAAAATGTTCCCGTTGGCTCAGGTGTTTACCTCGCTGCAGCTGGTAGCAGGTCCTGGTGGAGGGCGCTACACAGGAGGGCAATCAAAGCACAGGAAATCAGCTCCCTTCTGAGAAGAGCCAGGGAAAGGAGAAGGTCTCCACAGACCCTCTGGGACAAGAGTTACCAGCAGGCTCCAGTGTCGTGATCCTGTGGATGAGCTGCCTAGGAGAGAAGTAAGGGGAGCCCTGCTGGGGTGGTGGGGTAGGGCTTGCTTTCCTCTCAGTCTTGCCCAAATGTTGTTCGCTGTAGGAGTCATAAGCCCCGGTGGTGCAGGACTCTCTCGGTTGTCATGGAGCAGCTCTTATGCGTGGGTGGTGGACTCTGGTCATCGGCTGTGTCAGTGGTGTGTGTAATTTAATTGTGTACTGAAACTAGCTGTGTACCCCCAGGTAACAGGTCTCTGTGGACCTGCATGAGCACCTTGTCCTGCCTGGGAAGCCGGCATTTCAGGGGTCACTGTAAGCTGTGTTGGTATCCTGAGTGCTTGGTTGGGGTCTCCAAAAAGCCATCTTGGCTGAAGGCAGTTTGGTGCTGCCTTGTGCAGCACCAGGCTTGCCTGCGAATGGGCAGAGGTGTCCCCAGTGGCACCTCCCCTTCCTCAGGCTTGGCTTTGTCTGTTCTGCAGAGGGACGACCTCACCGTCCCATGGCAGTGCATGGCTTGCTTCAGGAGAGACGCAGCAGGAGCAAACCTGTGAGTGAGTGTGGGTGCTCATCTCTGCCAAGAGGAGGTGAATGCCTCCTAGAAGTATGAGCGTGGAGAAGGTCGCTGCTCTGTTGGCCTGAATTTGGCCAGAGGTAACACCTGTAGCTACTTCTAAGCTCATACAAGCTCCACAACCGGACTGGATGCAGTCCTGGTGGTGTGAGAGGCAGGAGGCAGTACATGTGCCCAGCTTCCCCAGGTGTTGCATTTCCCTGCTACGTAACTTGACCAGAAAACATTTTCTACCAGGATTTCAGGAGCTGCTGTATCCTCACCAGCAGGAGCCCTCCCAGGACCTGCACAGTCACTGTGCAGGTAGCTGGCTTCTCTTCCTCTGCCTTGTGTCCCCATGCAACTGCACATTTTTACATTTTCATAATTCATCAGTTCTTGTGCTTTTTCTCTATATACCTTAGAGCTGAGCTCGTGACTTGCAGCTGGGATTGCAAAGGTTGTGATGTTTTGATGTGCCAGGACTTATGGGACTGAGGTAGAAGGGGTTAACACAAACCTTCATGCTCAAAAACTGTAGGCCTATTGCTTGCATCCCATGTCCTGAAAGTGGCTGTTGTGAGTTGCCTGCAGTCATGCAGTGTCTACATCAGTGAGTCCATCATAAGTCTTCTCTCCTTGTTCATGTGGAGATGATGCTGATGAACATGCAGGTACAGCTTCTTATTTCAGGCATCACAGTCTCATCCTGCCTCTTGCTGTTGCAAACGCTATGCCAAATTTAGCAGGTAAACCAGATTCTGGTAAGGAAGCAGAGGTCAAGCTCAGATGTGGCTATGGACCTCTTTTTCCTCCCTTTGCATTGCCCATTGCATGTTTCCCACATCACAGCTGCTGGTCTGGTAGCTGGTATGGGCAGTTTCAGAGTTTTCATGAGCCAAGGTAAGAGGAGAGGTAAAGAGTGCAACGGGTACATCACTGTAGTGTCTTGGCTGATCTAAGGGGCTTGCTAGCAAGAGGTGTTTCTCTGCTCTCATGGCATTAGGTAGTGAACAGTAGCAAAAGATACTGCTGTAACTTCCAGCTGGTACATGTCCACAGTGAATCTACAACAGCTTTCCACAAAAAGGCATTATAAAGCCTTTCTTCTGGATGGAGACTGGGAGGGCAGCAGATGGGACGCATGTCTCTTCATAAGACAGAGTCAGTGGGGGATGTCCAGAGACACAATGCCCTTTATGGCCCTGGAGGTAGCCTGGGCAGTGGCTTTTGCACTGCCTGGTACCTTTCCAACACCCAGTTTGTAGTCCCTCTGGATTGAGCCCTGTGCCATCTCCGTGAGGTGTCCCTGGTTGGATGCTGCAGCGTTGAATGGCCTCTTGTGAACTTTGTCCCATCTCTGTTGGGAAGTCCTTCCCACAAGTTGGACACCATGAAACAACTTGTCAGATCTGGCTGCCTAAGCTCAGTTGCATTGCGAAGCACTAAGAGCATTGGCACGTTAAGCACCGGCTAGCCATTCTCCGTGGATTCAGCCTTGGCAGCAGACCCAGGCGGAGCAGCACGGGCTGTTCCTCCAGCTCCTTTCTAAGTAAGTGATGTGTGGATGAGTGCATGCATCTGCCCACGCTGAGCCACCTACCCCAGGGAGGGCTTGGGAAATGGGTCGGGAGAAAAGGAGTGCGGAGGCCTGGATCTCAAACACAGATGAAACTCATCAGAGCAGGTGTAATGCAGATTGTGTTGGGAACATCGGCGCTGCCTGGCCAAAGCACCTAAGGCTGGAAGTATCGGAGGCCTGTGGCTAAAGCATAAAGAAGGACTGCTTGCTAATGCATCGGCTGCCCTGCAAAATGCTCACATTTCTGAAGCTGGTTGTGGGTTTAACCTGGAGCTTGTGTTATTCCAAATGCCAGCTCCGAGCATGTAGTGGGCAGAGTCTGTGCGTGTGTGTGTGCATGCTCAGAAAGAGGTGGAGGAGGCTCAGGCTGCTAAAAACCCAAACATCTGAAGTGAGGGAGGAAGTATCATCTTCTGTCTCTTGGATCTTCAAACCTTCTGGTGTGGCTTCCAAAGCTTTTTATAGTGCGGGGGGTTGTTTTTATTTTTGTTTAGAAGAGGGAAGGAACTGATTAGTAATGTCCAGAGGAAAATGAGAGGGAAAACTACTCCTGGCGCTTGCCTTTAAGTGAACTGCTGGGCAGTGACTCATCCCAGCCAGGATAGTAATTTCATGTAACAGAAAAAGGACAAGAGGGGACACATGTTGGAGGAGACACTTGCAAGCATGAAGCTGGAGGAGCTGGAAGAACAATGGGGTGATAACTCAGCTTAACTGTGGTTCCCCAGGGAAATGAGCAGAGCTGCAACTTTAAGCCTGCGAGTCTGTGGATAAGATGTGCAAATCTCATGTTCCTGGAGTTTCGTAACTATGGATTTTTTTCCCCATATTGTTTCTGTCAAAGCTGATGCTAAATACTTGGTCCTGATAGCTGGAGCACTGCAATTCTCTTCTTTTGTTGCTGAATTTAGGCCCTGGTGTTTGAACTGCTAGTACTAACATCTGAATGTGTCTGGTCACTTGACCATTTAAGCATTTCAGCAGGTTTTCTGAGGCTAATCTCCAAGTCATTAGAGATATGTCATGTACTGAACAAACGAGGTGAATTTGGAGCATCGCATCATGTCATTGAAATACTGAGTTTGGGACTCCTCTTCCAAATGCTTTGTCTGATCAGTCTCAAACTCTTGGCTATGGGGAAGAGGGATCATCTCTTTTTTTTTTTTTTTTTTTTTTTTTTTTAATCTGAGATCTTAGGTAAAAATACAGGCGGAGGGGAATGTTGTCATGAAGTAAGGGGGTGAACAAAATCATCTCTTGAAAATGTTCTCACAGCCCAAGAGCTCAGAGAGGGATGTGCAGTAGAGCACAAAGATGCGTTACCCGGTGGCTTCAGTGCTCTCTGTGCAGCAGTTCCTGCTGCGTGCCAGCGATGTCGGGGAGGCCATAGGTTACACCCGAAACCAACGGCGCTCGCGTGCCTTCACAACCATGGGCCTCGGTACCTGGCACCAGCCTATTGCCAGGCACAAGCTGAAACCTTTCGAGCCCTGCAGTGGCCCATCCGTTCGCTGCGTTAGCTCTCTCTGCCCCCGGGGGCATGTTGTGAAATGCTCGCTTCTAAACGTCACCGAAGAATATTTCAACGCAGCTTTGGGACAGTTATTGTTCGGACATGTTGCCAACCTTAGTCGAGACCACGGGCACCTTTCCACTTATTAAAGATGAATTCAAATAAACAAAACCAAATGCAGCTGTCCACTCCCCCAGCCTCCCAGGAGATACTTGCATGACTTCAAGAAGGCTCACATTTTATCTTAGATTTTTTTTGTCTCCCTTTATATAAATGAAATTAAAAGGGGCAAATGCATTGCTAGGTAAAACCTGGTTTGATAAAAATGGATGTAAGAAAAGGCAAAAAGAATTGTAGGCAACGTTTGCCCTTACTCATGCCCTTCAATTAGATCACCCTGTGCCCTCCTTTGTACGGTATGTGGCTTGCATTTTTGTCTGGCTGGGGCTATGGTTAATGTCGTTGCTCAAACACCAAGTTGGTTTTGTGAAAGGCCGTGGTACCTTTGGCGTTCCTGCACTCTGGGCCAGTCTGCTCCTCCGTGAGCAGACGCTGCTGCCTCTTCCTCTGGTTGGAAGGGGCTTGCAAGCCCATCAGCTTGCAACTGCTTGTCCACAGCAGGAGCCGAAAGCCTTTTCCAATAATTGTTTCGTTCTGCCTGTGCCTCGCATTCTGCAGAGGTTTGGAAAAGTGCTTCATAAAATGGAATCGGCAATTTAATAACAAATTAAACATTTTTGTGAACCTTCCAATGCTGATTATGGTTTTCCTAGCCTGGCTAAAACCAAGAGCAGCCTCTCTTTGTGGCGTGGCTGCTGCCAAGGCATGAAGCCACATGTGTAAATTAAATATATAATTTTCAAACGTCAGCATAGGTCAAGGTTTTATTTAAGAGTGGGCCAAAGGCACTGGCTGGTTTAATTACTGCTTTTTTTTAACCCCATGATGAAATGCAGCACTGTTAAGCAATTGTGGATCACACCGCTTCCTTGGGCTCTGCTGATAAGAGTACTCCTAGGTGGTGAGGAGGATTAACAGCTTGTCTGCAGAAGGTGCAGAGTGCTATGAACTGCAGCGTGAATTTACAGTGTGCCAGCCACGTGCTCGGCGTGGGGCAGCTCTCGGGGTGTGGTAAGCTGCCCTGCAAAAAGGTGTTCCCTGTGGGCGCTGAAAAAAACATCCTCACGGGGAACTGATGGGGAGCAGCTCTTGTGCCATACGCTCTGCTCTGCCCCATTGCACGCTGCCTTCCCCTCTATGGAAAGCCGGGTGCCGCGAGTGAACTGGGGACAGATTTGCAAAGGCTGAAAGAAGGAGTGTTGGACCAGTGCTGCAGAGCTTAATGTTAGAGCTGGATAGGTATGATAAGGATCAAGGTTGAAAAAATAAGTGATAAACCTCCACAGCAGTTGAATGTCTTTCAAAATCAGGTCCTTGAGCAATTAGTTTCCCTGGCCGTGGCAAACTGAGAGTTGGGGCTCTGAACCCTTTGCCTGGACTCCCTCACTAGACTAGGGAGGCAGAGGTACTTGCTGAAAGTGGATCTATCGTGTTAATCCCTTTCCCTTGTGTCCTGGTTTCGGCTGGGACAGAGTTAATTTCCTTCCTAGTAGCTGGTATGCTGGGTTTTTTTGGATTTAGGATGAGAATGATGTTGATAACACACCGATGTTTTAGTTGTTGCTAAGCAGTGCTTACACTAGCCAAGGACTTTTCAGCTTCCCGTGCTCTACCGACTGAGAAGGCTGGAGGTGCACAAGAAGCTGGGAGGGGGCACAGCCAGGACAGCTGACCCAAACTGGCCAAAGGGACATTCCATACCATGTGACGTCATGCTCAGTATATAAACTGGAAAAAGCTGGCCGGGGGGGCCGCTGCTCGGGGACTG